TGAAATTTGGCACAGATAAACAGTTCAACAGAAACTTTCAAATTTTGGAGGACTGAGAAAAAATTGGGTATGGGGGATTTTTGTTGCAATTTACCACAATACCAGCCAACCAGCTAACATGCAGCTGTCTGACCACAAAAGGGCTATGGCAACAAATTCTCCTAACCTATAGGAGAAAGGCATCCCAATATTAGTAGGATGAAGAAATACAAATAAGGAAGGGGGAAGAAACCTCTACTGAATATGCTTTAGACAGAGTAGCCTGAGCTTAACATATTATACCATGAGGTGTACCGGTAGTTAGGAGTAGGAATCCTAGTCCGAACTACCTAGTTAGAGCCCCGTGTAGCCGCTCTGCACGGGGTTCAAACCAGTGGGGTTTTAAAAATGGCGGCTCCCCGCTTATGCAAATGAAGCCCAGGAAATTCAAATCCCGGGCTTCATTTGCAAGTGCAGTATGCCTACATTACCCTGCTAGTTCGAACTAGCGGGGTAGTGTAGACATACCCTGAGTGTTGCAACTCTGCACATAATACTGGGCCTAATGCTGGGGCAAGAACCTACCAACACTCATAATGACAACTGGGAATGCTTAAGTAATCAATATATGGCCTCCTACATAGGCCATACCTAAAAGGGTCAGTCTGTGTCCTTTTGCCTTGAGCAACATCCATTACATCCACGTAAGTGGTAGTGTAGACAAACTCTGTCAACCAGTATTTGCCATTGCAACATACCTGCTAGCCACTGAGGGATGGAGGTTGGGATAGACGGACCCTTGATTCATTGACCATAAGCCCATGGGGACATGCTGATGTAATTACTTAGACCAATCTCTGTTTATGCTGTTGGTTGCAAAGGGGAATAAAGATTTTGTATGCTTTCTGCCTCTTTGCACATCACCACAGGAATAACCCTACTATCATGCTATACAAATACTTTTGTATAAACTAACTTGCTTAAAAAATAGTCTTTCCTTTCTCTTTGTGGAATGTTTTCATTGAAAGCAAACTTGCATGGGGTTTCATGCTAGTTTTATTTCTAGCCAAATAAAAGAGTAATCAATCCATTGTTTTAATTCAATACAGCCATGGTCTAAGGAAGTACAACTCTATTGTATCATGGAAATTCAATGACAGGGAGATACTTGTGTAACACTCTGCCAGGTGGAGCCAGTAGCAGCTAGATTCAAAATCTATAGGTTCCTTTCCATCCACCCAACACAGAACTTGAACCCCTACCCAGTAACTTGGGAAATTAACATACCACCCCTGGGTGCCTTAGAGAGGCAATGCTTCCCCACTTGCAAGCACAGAGTCTGAGTATAGAAAATAAACTTTCAATAACATGGGAGGGAAATAACTTGGCATTAATTTGGGGGAAAATACCACAAACAGAGTTAATAAACATAAACTATGAGTAAAAGTCCTATTCCAAGTAGGTTGGGCAATGTTCTTTACCTCTCAGGTTCTTAAGTCCTGCAATATAAATGTCCCCTTCACGTGCCCAACCCTTCTCTGCCCCCCACTCAGATTTGCTGCCCTTAGTCAGTGCAGACCTAGAATTCAAAGGTGCGTTTGCAGAGTTTGTCTCCCGGCGTGGGTAGATAAGGAGGTAAAGAGCCATCTTACTCAATCTGCTGGTCACTCACCATCCATCTGCTTACTGCGCTCTGCTGCCGCCCTGCTGGCCACTTGTCATACTTCTGCCACCATGCTGGTCACTCATCTGCATCTCTCTGCTGCCGCCCTGCTGGCTGTCAGTCACCATCCGCTACCATCCACTTCTTGGCTGTGACTTCTGCCCATCAGTCTCAAGTGATTTCAGTTCCTTATTTCAATTCTTAGCAATCAGGGTAGAATAAACACAAATTCTAATACAATTTACATAAGAAAGGGGCTCTTAATTATGCCTATTTAGCTCTTTTCTTAGAACAGTGTAGAGGGGAACAGGTTAAACCAGTCCAGGCAAGGGAACCTATACAGTCTCCTGACCAGAATAACCTTCCTTTACCTCCTCCCTCTCAATGAGCTCTGAAAATCAAGCCCCTGCTTAGCAAGCTTCTTTCTGCTCACTGTGAGCCCTTTCCTTTGGAATAATTTAGCACAGTCCTGCATTTCTGTATTCCCACAACATTACAAACACTGGTAACTATATTTTAACTATCCCTGCATTTAATACAAACATAGCTGGTGTTGGGTCACAAATTAAGTTGATTACAATGAGCAAAATAGCATTCTATCTGCTCGATAACTAACAAAATCTAAGCAAAGGAGGAGTAAATTGTATTTACGTAGGCACACCCAGGGTCTTTCCTCCATTCTAGCTACCCATAAGAGATTCATTCCTTCAGATCCTGCTTACACTTGGAAAACATTAATGCTGAAAGACATGGCTGATAATGCAACTACTACTAAAACAACACACTTATGTGGATGTTCTCAAAGCATGTTCTGAAAGCACTTTATAAATGGGTAAGAGAAAAGGAGATGCATATTAAAGACCCATTTGTGGGAAAGGACTGGTTTTCCTACTTGTGGGAAACACAAAATTATTGCCTGCATATTTGTGGCAGCTCACTGCAGACACATATCTGAGTGCTTGTGCTTCTAAATACTTGATTTATTCCATCAATACTGTAGTTAAAAGCGCACACACTTAGATTTGCATCTTCAAAAATGTTGGGATCATTGCTTCCACCTGCAAAAAAAAGAGATTGTCCCCTTGAAAATGCAATCCTAAACAAAGAAATCCAAATCACAAGGCTACTTTGTGACAGAAATTTGACAAGCCCATCCTCCTGACAGATGGGACCACAAAATCAAAATGATCTTTAATGTGATATATGACATACACACAAAAAGGCAGAAGTATGGATTTTGTTCACACACGCAGTTGCATCACAGCACAGACTAGGAAGATAATCCCTGGAGGGAGCTGACTGAATAGTACTAGCTTCTGAGGGGTAGCCAAGTTAGTCTCTAACAGGAAAAACTTAAACAACTAATAGTCTAGTAGCACCCTAAAGACTAACAAAACATGTAGATGGTGGAGAATAAAATTGTCAGACACATGGATGAATATCATTTTTTGGGGGAAGTCAACATGTTTTCTGTAAAGGGAAATTGTGCCTTGCTAATCTGCTAGAATTCTTTGAGAGGATCCACAAACATGTGGACAAGGGGTTCCAGTGGATCTAGTGTACTTAGATTTCCAGAAAGCCTTTGACAAGGTCCCTCACCAAAGGCTCTTAAGTAAAGTAAGTTATCATTAGATAAGAAGGAATGTCCTTTCATGGATTGATAACTGGTTAAAAGGTAAGAAACAAAGGGTAGGAATAAATGGTAAGTTTTCCAAATGGAGAGAGGTAATTAGTGGGGTCCCCCAAGGGTCTGGCCTGGGACCAATCCTATTCAACTTATTTATAAATGATAGAGAAAGGGGTAAACAGTGAGGTGGCAAAATTTGCAGATGATACCAAACTGCTCAAGTAGTTAAGATCAAAGCACCCTGTGAAGAGCTTCAAAAAAATCTCACCAAACTAAGTGATTGGGCAGCAAAA